ATACAATTCAAAACATTTTGCCGCAGCGTTTCTGGGATGTACAATCGTTATGGTAGAGAAAGATGTTATCGTACCTGAGTGCTTCTGTGTCCCCAAAAGGGGCGTAGCTTTGGGTCAACATTCGTAATTATTTTCGGGAATCCATTTCTGACTAACAGGCCTATCGATATGATTGTGGGGTCTGCTGACGAGGCTTCCAGGATACGAGTTCTGTATACCGGACAAATGTCGTAGTCGACTGAAGCTACAGTTTGCTCGTGTGAGTCTGTGAAAAGTAGCCTTGTGTGGTCTCTGCCGTCTTTCTGCATTAGTTGACCTCTTCTGGTTTGCTATAGCGGGACAGCGAATGAGGACCGGCGTGTGTTTTTCCCAGGAATATGAATGATGCTGAACCTCCAGGTGAGCGTTTTCTCCTTTATGCGCAGGAGTCTCGTAATATCGATGTGTTCAAGCAATTGGTCGCTAATTATTCCAAGCAGAGGCTTGTGATCGGTGTACACGACTAAATTTTCACATCCTAAGGTGAAGTAGCGGGTTTTTATAAGGCTATCAGCCACAGCTAAACACTCACCTTCTGTAGGAGCATAGTTCGATTCAGCTTTAGTGTGAAGAGTGACCAGATTAAACAAACCCGCCACCCGTCATCAGAGCAATCTGATCTGCCGTTGTCACATGAACAACGTTGTTGCATCAGAACTCAAGATAAAAATTTCGAACAAAATATAAAAATAGATCCGACTTTATACAAAAATGATCTGTTCTTTGGAGTGAGGAAGGTGTTGAAAACATAAGGAAAAGCTTGAATTATCTCAGCAAATAAAAAAACTCCGTCGAGTCCGTCACTAGCTTCTAGTGTGCCCAGAACAGAAGCACTGTTACCAGCCTGTAGAGCCACAGAGATATGCTGCTTAAGGTAAAGTGTCGACTTAGGTTCTTGCGTAGCAGCCAATAGACGTTTACCAAGCGCGCGTAGGAAACTGTACGTGACGGGCCCACAACCACCTTGGACTTCAAAGGCCACCGGAGCAAAGATATAACCTTATGATTTCCGAGTATTTAGAGTTTTTTCTCACTTCTGCTTCGGTAGCTGCAGAGAACTGGCAAGGGTTGTTAGAAATCCTACTCGGGGCGAGCGCGTCCACAACCGTCGTGTCCCAGATAAGACACATGCCTCTTTCCCATGGCATCCAAGTTAGTCCATCTGGTCTCTTGTTGTCTGACGTAGCCAGCCCTGGGGGTTCTAAGACAGACGGGATGTTCGCCGAACCTAAAGCACGTTTAATAATATCGTTTATCATAGCATGACGCTGAATCCGGCCCGCACTTCTTCTACACGACAAACCGTGGGTACCGAATTTGTCAACTGGCTGACCGCATTCACAGGTATGGGGTTCACATATCAGCAGACCCAATCGCAGAGCTATAGAAATTCTTAGATGCACATCCGCCAACTTGAGACCAACCGAACGACTAGGAAGCGCAAACCCCATTATCTCAGTTTTGCAAACAAATCCGGATAAAGTTTTAATGTTTATTGGCCGAACAGGACGTTTACGTCCCTCATATCATTTATGACGAGCTCCATCAACAACAACAACAACAAGGAAGCGCGTTAATCCAACCATCGCGCCAATTATGATCTTTTTGCTAGTTTGAAGAACTCTGATGCTAAGTTCTCGAAAACTGCTAAGAAAGCTCGAATGTTGAACAGTCTGGGTCTTCATTGTGCGAAGAAGTCATCTGGTCCGTTACAGGACATGACGGAGGCAGAAAGGAAGAGCTGGCCTGCTATAGTTGTGAGCAATTTTGACCTCTTATGATGGTGTAGTATTGATGTACACTGTTCTCTTATGATAGTATGTTCTCTTATGAATAGGTGCTCCATCTAAACAAACTGCATCAGAATGTATCCAATGCCGGTTTTGCATCAGTCTGTGAGGAGGGCTGTTTTTTTGGGTCGAATTGTTTGACACCGTTTTTTCGGCTTCTATAGCTATATATTTTTTGCTTCATCGAACAGTACTTTTAACTGACTGTCCCAGTAGCAAGGACTGTTTTTTCTTTTCAGTATTTCACGGAATGGTAGGAGCTGCGGTTGGGCGGCGTAAATGTGAGATACTAGGTTTACAAGGGTGTAGAAGGATCTCAAATTTGTGACGTTCTGTGGTGTTGGAAACTCTTTTAGTGACCTCGTGTGAGATTCCAACGGCTCTACGGAATCTTTACTGACCTAGAACCCAGCCCAAGAAACCGACTTTTGACAGAAGACAAATTTTCTTGATTCTGCGGTATACCATTTTTTCCAAGCAGCATTTCCAAGCAGCGTTTTTTCCAAACGCGTCTCCGCCGTTCTGTTGAATAGGTCTTCGATTGATTCAGAGTAGATAATAATGTCGTCGATCACTCTGCGCACATTCTCTACACCAAATGTGACCCTTAAAAATCGATGCGTGTATGCGTCTCCCGAGGCGAGATAGCCTTGGGGCACGTCTTGAATCTCAACCTACCCCATGGCGTAATAAAAGTCGATAGATATCGGTCGTTTTCTCCAATTGCTAGTGAGTGGTACCCGTTTCAAGCGGCTAGTGTTGTTTTGTACATAACCCGGAGAATTGACATAGCTTGTTGAAAGGGTGATCTAGTGTCTGCCTGCATGTTGCTGCATTGAGCGACTGCATGTCTGCAGTTCTTCTGGGCTCACCATTGTGTTTTCTTGTTACCACCATGCGATGACACCACGTCACATGTGGGTTAGGAGGATTTACCGTTTTTTTGTTCAAGAGCTGGCGTTAAATTTTTTTTTGCAAGACGTTTCAATCAATCATATTGACTAGATTTTTCCATGAATTTTTTCTTAAGTGTCTATCCTGTTGCTGCGTTGTAGTTACCTCGTCGAGGGGCAGCGCATAAATTTCGTCATTTCTGTCAGATTTAGTTATAAATGGTCTTCGTTTTTGTTTTCAATGGTTAGTGTGGTAGTTTAGTGCTTCTTCAGAGAAGTTCTGATTTTTTAGTATGGGTTATTTTCAAAACTTCCAGCGGAAGGTTGTTGTTTGCGTCGTCTCGTCCAATTCTCACACTGTGAAGTGCCTCTGGGTAGAAGGAGGACCCCGATTCCAGTAACTGAGATGTCAATTGCTTCTGGATGAGACACCTGTTTCGTCGAATCTTCAAGCCTTCAATTGGGGAGAGGATAATAAAAGCTATGGTTGTGGTGTCTAATTTCGTATATACCTTATCTGCGGAACAATAGACAGAGGAACGTTTTTGGTTTCATATCTGAAGCTCTTAGCCATATGCGTGAAGGCTCATCCAACCTGAGGAAGGCAAGGGCCTGTTGATAGTTTCATAGCTTCTGTTGTGAACTTGAATGGTCACCTCGAGCTATATTGTGTTACTTGCAGTTTTGCTGATCCACTTGCGAGCTTTATTGTCGTACCGTAAGTGATTAACGAAAAGTTTGGCGAGTTCACAAAGTTCCGCTGAGCCGTTCATACCCATGATAAACTTGCTGTCATGTGTGTCGATCTGCGCGTTAGTTCTTTGGTGACTTGTCGCCTATCTTGCAACACGAAACAGAATGGTTTGCTTCCCACAGGGACAAATGTGACCTCTTGCTGGACACTGTGACCGCCAGTTTGGTCCTTTGTGCTTCGCGTTACCTTAAATGTTACACTTGTCTATAGTTGAACTCTTTGTTGGCTCTTTCTTGTTCTTTTTGTACGAGCTGCTTATACGTATGTCACTGTTCAGAGTACCTTGGCTCCGTTTAGCCGCTTCTCGGTCCATTGCAGTTTTTTCAGCTCTGTCGATAGTCAGGTTATCAAGAGTAAGTAAATCCTCTTTCATTCATGCCTACGAGAAGCCGGTGCAAGAGCATCTAGTCCGTGTATTCAACTTTTGCGTTACACGTGCAGTCTGCGAGAAACGTGCAGTGTCTCGCTGTTGTACGGAATTTTGCCAGATATGTTTATATAGGCTGGCCAGGATCCTGTTTCATTTGAAGTAGCTCCATAATAGTCACCAATCTGTTGCCAGCCGTTACCAGGCGTTTAGTGTTCGAAAGAAGAGTTTTCTCGCTTTGTGTTTGTAGATCTGTGCCGTAAGTTGAGAACAACAGACGGATAATTTCTTCAGCGAGACAGTCATGCAATGAGTTGCGTCGCGTGGTGTGGGCTGTCTATGTTTTTAGTGTTTTGTACTGTGACCACTGGTGCTCGAATAACGACCAGCTTGTGTCATCAACGGAATCGCCAATGAGTTCCAGTTTGGGTCTTTTTGGTTTTTCCGGACGAGGAACTTTGAGTTGCGTGGTTGGTCTCCCGGTACATTCGTAGTAGCTGTTTTGCGACATTTGGATCCAAACCTCGCGTTTCGTAGCTGCAGCTTGGGACAGGACACAGTAACCGCGCGGACCTTGTTGCTCGTTTGACTCATATTGTTGACACTGCATAGCTGAGCCTTGTCGTCGGTGAGTTGTTGAAGACACTTTAGATTGAAACCATGTAATTAAAATGCAGTGTCTGAAATACCAGAACCAACATAGTATTCAGACAGAACGTACACTATCAAGCATGGATATATGCCAGCACCAGCTAATTATCACTTCCATATCTAGAAAATTCCGAGGATTTTGACTGGAATATTTGATGAAGGGACTCCTGACTGTAACCTCGGTTACTATGATATTTACCCTGCAAAAATACAAAAAAAAATTATTGAAGATTGAGGGTACAAACGAGACAAAGACTCGCGACAAAAATGGTTTTTTAAAAGTATTATCTCTATAGATGTGAAAAATTTGTTCACCACAGAAATTATTGATATAGCCCTCAGAAAACTCCTCGATGCTAAATATGTGTTATGCTCTTATGTATTGTTGGTAGTTTCGTATCCAACCTTTGCGCTGATCGTCGCATTACTGACCTTTGAAGATAAAGTATTTGTTCGTCGATGCAAAATTGAAAAGGGAACAAATTTTACTGATGGCGATACTGATTTAGATTAAAATGAGTCTTTGGCAACATCGGATTTTCAGGATACTAGCCAGTAAACCAGCAAATGTGTGTAAAAGATGTCGTTTCTCCGCCAAGTATGATCTTTAGTTGTATGCTCCTAAAGGGGGGCGTGAAGGAGCTATGGCGTAGTTTGTGTTTTTCCTTACTGATTTTGACTACCTCAAGGAAAGCTCATAGGGAGTCAAAAGTGGTTCCATATTGAAATTCTATAGGCCGCGATTCTGCGTTTTTTCGTTCTTAGACTAAATTTTTAGACTGAAATTTCAATCTTATTCGGCCATTTTAACTGCTTTTCTAAGATATTATTAACTGATTCGTATGGCCAATCAACCAATTCAGCCCCCTCTCATTGACCAAAATAAAAACAGTCTAAAAATAACAACATTTCTTATAATTTTTAATTTTTATTATTGGTTCATTCATTCTCAGATCGGAACATTCTGTGCCACTCGCTAGGCAACCGGATTTTTTGTTTGACACATGTAGCTGCAAGTATAAGTTAATTGCTGATTGTTTGCTTTCAGACTAGAGCCAATCGGAATTTTTGAACCGGCTGATGACACAAAACAGTATGTAACTGGCCAGGTAAAACTTCTATGTATTTCATGTAAATGAAAGTTCTCCAGTATGTTGATCCATCATTAGACCTTACCGCCGTAGCATTGAAGTATTTAAGTTCCAGCCCTCGCAATAAAGTGGATTCTAACTTTTGGGTCTGTAATTAGAACAAGCTATGATGATTGTAATTGAAAAGTGCCAAAATGAAGCCATAAATCAGCTATTACCAGTAATGCTGAAATTTATTGTTCTGCTTTTTTGACACTTTTTGATGACTTGAGTTTATCATTCTAGTACTATCACCTGTAATTGTGCTTTTGATAAGAGAAAAGATTTATGAACTTCGAACTATTTTCTTTCAACTTTGAATCTATTTAGTTTGTTTTAGCTTTTTCTTCACAGAATTTTCGGTTACCGTGGGATCATACTCATTCCTTGGGATGTCAAAGTTTATGACCGTGATGAGTTTGCAACCAGGTCTTACCAGACGAACAGCTCCAATAGGTAAGATTAGTGCTGTATACTCAAGCTATCAAAAAAAATTAAGTTTTTCAGTTTTTTTTTTGAGTAGCTTGCTAGAAGACCTAATTGTTCGCGAAACCAATGAACCGATCAAAATCTTAAGTTTTTCGAGGTGCTTCAAGCTAAGATAATTTCTAAGATAAAAAAATTTGATGTCGTTTTGATAGCCAAAAAGAGCTTGCAAAAATGAAAGCTTATCAAGCAAGCTATTCAAACGATGAAACTTTAAATTATTTCAAGTTATATTGTAAACTTTGAACTATTACAAGTTTTTTTGTTTCAGGAGCTGGCGTAAAGTTTTGTTTTGCTAGACGTTTCAAGCAATCCTATTGACTAGATTTTCCCTGATTTTTTTTCTTAAGTTTCTGCTGTTGTTGCGCATACATTTCGTCATTTTTGTCAGATGTAGTCATAAATGTTCTTCGTTTTGTTTTAAAGTTTTGATTTCTTAGTATGGATTATTTTCAGTACTTTCAGTGGAAGTTTGTTGTTGGCGTCGTCTCGTCCAATTCTCACACTGCGGGGTGCCTCTGGGTAGAAGGAGGGCCCCCGATTCCATTAATTGAGATGTCAATTGCTTCTGGATGAGGCACCTGTTTCGTCGAATCTTCAAGCCGTCAAATGGGGAGAGGATAATAAAAGCTATGGTTGTGGTGTCTAATTTCGTATATACCTTATCTGCGGAACATTAGACAGAAGAACGTTTTTGATTCCATATCTGAAGCTCTAGCCAGTATTGAGTCGACACTGGCCACCATGAGCGACCTCGACTGATTTGCCAGAAGGCTGATCCAATTTGAGGAAGGCAGAAGCCGCGACATGATTGGACCAATGTGAAATAGTGTAAACTAGGGTTTGGGGGAAAGAAATCGAAATAGGTGGTTGGTATCGTGTAGGGTATCGTGTTGGGGACACTTGGATCAAAAGTGGTTCCATATTGAAATTCTATAGGCCGCGATTCTGCGTTTTTTCGTTCTTAGACTAAATTTTTAGACTGAAATTTCAATCTTATTCGGCCATTTTAACTGCTTTTCTAAGATATTATTAACTGATTCGTATGGCCAATCAACCAATTCAGCCCCCTCTCATTGACCAAAATAAAAACAGTCTAAAAATAACAACATTTCTTATAATTTTTAATTTTTATTATTGGTTCATTCATTCTCAGATCGGAACATTCTGTGCCGCTCGCTAGGCAACCGGATTTATTGTTTGACACATGTAGCTGCAAGTATAAGTTAATTGCTGATTGTTTGCTTTCACACTAGAGCCAATCGGAATTTTTGAACCGGCTGATGACACAAAACAGTATGTAACTGGCCAGGTAAAACTTCTATGTATTTCATGTAAATGAAAGTTCTCCAGTATGTTGATCCATCATTAGACCTTACCGCCGTAGCATTGAAGTATTTAAGTTCCAGCACTCGCAATAAAGTGGATTCTAAATTTTGGGTCTCTAATTAGAACAAGCTGTGATGATTGCAATTGGAAAGAGCCAATATAAAGTAATAAATCAGCTTTTACCAGTAATGTTGAAGTTTCATGTTCTGCACTTCTGACACTTTTTGATGACCTGAGTCATTCTAGTTATATTACCAATAATTGTGCTTTTAATGTGATCAAAGAATAATGAATTTTGAACTCTTTCCTCTGATCTGTTCAGTTTGTTTTTAGCTTTGTTTTTACAGAGTTTTCAGTTACCGTGGGATCATAGTCATTCCTCGGGTTGTCAAAGCTTACGATTCTGATGAGTTTACAACCAGGTCTTACCAGACGAACAGCTGATTGTTTGCTTTCAGACTAGAGCCAATCGGAATTTTTGAACCGGCTGAATTACCAGACGATCTGGGTAAAAGGAGGGCCCCGATTCCATTAACTGAGATGTCATTTCATTTTTGTTGGTGCACCTGTTTCGGCGAATCTTCAAACCGTCAAATTGTAAGAGGCTAGTAAAAGCTATGATTGTGGTGTCTAATTTCGTATAAACCGTATCTGCGGAATACCAGACAGGATTGTTTTTGTTTTCATATCCGAAGCTCTAGCCATTGCTTTGCTGTGTTCTATTCCTTTGTTTTCTTCTGCTAGGAGTTCTTCAGCTATCATCTCGTTTGAATTATGAGCCGTAAACATGTCATTAACCCATTCATCTTCTCTGTCTCCACAGTCGGCACGTGATGCTAGTTCTACGAGGTCAGCATAGAATTAATTCAATATTTCCTTTTTTCGTTGTTTTCAGCAGATGAAATTATATCTTACAAAAGCTATAATTCTTTTGATGACAAAGATATCTTCTAGTATCCGCATGAGTTCTTTTGTAGTTGCCGATTGAATGTCAAGTCCCGGTTTTCTCTGTGGCAATTTTGCTGGCCTCCAGGCATAAGAATGTGTAGCTTTTTACTTTGGCTTCCGCATCATACCATGGGTTGTTGTTACAAAGGACGCCCCTGTCTCTGTTTTTTATCGTTGTTTTCCCAATTTTTTTTGCTCTCAGTTTCGGATGTCTCGGTTGCGTTTTTGGGCCTCGGTTTTGCCACTAATTTCAAATTCGTTGGTTGTTCCAGTTGGTTCGATAATTGAAGGTTTTGTTCTGAGTAAATTTTTTGCCTTTATCCAGTTTTTGGCAAACATTGCCATTTCCATCATGGCCGCGCACTTGGACCATTCCAGTGGTGGTTCTACTGATGCCTTTTGCCAAAATGGTGGGATACTCAGCGGGTTCTTGTATGTATCCTGCTGACTGTGCCATGTCACACCGCTATGTATGAGCTGTTGTAGACTCCGAACGGATTGGAAAAATTAGTTAATATATGTTAACGTTACGAAAGTTAATGAGTTTTCAGATTTCCCAGCGGAATAAAAATTTACCATTCCAAAATTTAAAACTAAAAAAATGTTCAAACATCCAATCAACTTTTTTTCGGTTCACTTCGGATAAAGTCAGCCCTCTATCCGTTACGTTTAATCTGGATCTGACGTCCATGCTGGGCACAGCGAAGGTCCGTGGTTCACACCCGAGTAGTAACTTTTTTTGCATGCTGAAAATTTGTCGCTTCAGAACTGACTTGTTTAGTGATTAAGGCAAATTTCACTGTAAGCTTTAATCATCTTGGTATAATGGTACAGGTAATTGAGTTGCGACAAATTTTGCTGGAATTTTGTGATACCGATTTTTGGCCGATTGATCATGATTTTGAATTTTTCTCAACAGATTTTTTTAGTGTTTGCTTCCTTGTCAACAGTATGTTTGAGAGTTGTTAGAGAGTTGTGTCGTCCTTGAAATACTTGAAGTGTTTAAAAAGTTAGTGGGTTTCTTTACGCCTGCTTCAAACACAACCTATTGCCTCCAATTATTGACATTATTTGCATAGCTTGGTTTTTAGAGCTCGACTCAATAATTTTATCATTAACAATCTTTTCGTTCCGACCACTCTCGAAGAATGGAAGGAATTTTGGTTTCGGGTCGGTTTTTTTCAGCCAAATTTCACCACAGCTGTAGTAGCATGAAAGACGCCCTTTTGCCTTTGGTCGTGATTCGGATTGTAGAAAGAAACTTCAAACTCTGTGTCAAAAACTGGTTGATAAACTAGTCGAGGTAAATTTGCTCAAGTGACGTTGAAACTAATTTCTAACAGTTTTCCATCTAATCGAGTCACCCTTTACCAATAGAAAAGATAATGGGAATTTAGAAGATCTTTTCAGGCAAAATGTTGTTTTTTAAAACTATATAAGAATTACATGAAAAAGACTTATAAATATTGTTGCGACGCAAATATTATTGCGGCAAAATGTGTTCATTTTGAAAGTGTTCATTGTGATCAAAGTACAGCTAATGCTAAGGATTTTAACCAAGACTATTATGTTACAAATAGCACTTTAGCTTTAAGGTATCATGGCTCTTTAGCGTAGAGGTAGGGAAGGAGACATGGTTGGATGGGTTGGGTTGGATTGGATGTATTTAATGAACTTTTTCGTATACTAGCTAAAATGCGTCCGCTCAATAATTTGAGGATATTAGTTGGAATTTCTTTTTTTTTCCAAATTGACTAGTACTGCTAATGCGTCATAATTGGTTTGGGTCACTTAGCAATTATGTAGACTCGTAATTGGCGTGCGTCACATGAGAGTTTTTCTAGACTCAAAGTTTTACTCATTCAGTCTTTCCCAGTTGCGTTATCGGTCATATATTGCTTGTGTATGCGAAGTGCAACTTTGCCTCTGTGTTGAAGTTTGTCTTGCGCTGAGTAACTGGGCTTCTTTGAGAGTTGGCTTTGAACGATATGTTTTTTTTGTTGAAATTTCTGCGCGGAGAACTAGATGTTCTATAAACAATATGTTGAAAGTTCCTTTTCGTAAACGCAATCTTGAAAAACACTCCTGAGATGGAGAGGTGCTCACAATTATAAACTTTTCGGAAAAATTGAAGTTTAATTAGAAAACTCAGATTCCTTAACTGCAGAAAAAGTTAAGAAATGCTATCACGACATCTAAAATAGTTAAATATTAACTTGAAATTTTTGTTTAATTTGATTTTTACCAACGCAAAAAAAACTTAACAGTACCTTCTTCGCATCCGGCCCTAATCACTCATTTTGCTGCTCCCACCTTAAGGCTTCAGTAGATTTGACGCATCATGTGATTTTAATTTTATCTACAGCAATCGAGATTCCTCGGACAACCACAGCAGAGCGGGCAATGATGATGCAGGGCGAATACGGGGAAAGAGAAAAGAAGAGAGTTCGGAGAGGGGGACTGAGAGTGCGGTAGAGCAGACGATGAGCCAGGCTTCCACTCAGTCTAGACTGTTCTACTCGGTGCTAATGGACGAAAGAGATTGGAAACACGTGGTGGGTACTGAGTACTTATAGTGGGTGGAATGCATCACGAATACGCTCTCAGCAAAATGGAACGATCAAACTGTAAAGGAAATTTTAAACGGCTGACATGCTCAATATTCTAATTACACTTGCCAAAGCAAGTGTCTTGTAATCCGGAATTTTTTTTTCGTAAACAACTTATAGATTTTCAACTTGCTTAGTTGAATCTTTTTGACTTCCAGGTTTCTTCGCAATTGGCATAGAGGTAACGCCGTCGCCTTTGAACCTTAAGGTCCTGGTTCGACTCCCGGCCGGAGCTTGTTAAGAGTAATGAATGTAGGGAAGTCTCTTATAAAGGTCTTGGTGACTTTGTGTGTTTTTTTTTCAGGAAAAAATCTTAAAATGCTCTAATAACTACAGACAGGCCTGCCAACTAGTTCATATTATATGAACTAGTTCATATGGTTCATATTTGTTTCATATTTGAGCCAGAGTTCATATTTCATGTTTTTAATTGTTTTTAATGAGTTACACGTAGTGATCAGACAGTTCTTCATGTTAAACTTATTTATAATCTGACAAAAGCTTTGCAGGGCCCTAGTTCGCTGAGAGTCAACACCAGAACTGTTTTTTTTTGCCAGAAACATACGACAGTGTCCATATCATTCAGGAAGTCTTTAGCCGCGACGATTTCGAAAAGGCGTTCAATTTTCCAGCTGAGTTATGTGACGCAGTTCGCCAAGCAGCTTCTGAATATAAGAAATCCACGGAGTCGAAAGTAAAAGAAAATTCACGGAAAAGAGGGCATGCTGAAGATTTGCGAGAGGAACTGTATGTTTTCAAACTAATGACTCCTTTAGCTCTCAAGAACTAGCTGAACGAATTTGATTCTAGCATTGACGAGGCTAAAAAAGCTCTTGAAGCTCTTGAAAAGAAGAAGGAACTGCTCCATAACCAACAAACTGTTTCTGTGGTCACATTGGATCAACAATCTGCAGTTGTCATTGACTCAATATTTGTCAAGAAATAAATGGTTTAATTGACCATGTTTTTCTGAAAGTTAGAAAATGCTCTTTTAGGTTCATATAAAGTTCGTTTTTCAAGGTTTGGTCCCAGGTTCATATTTCGTTTTATAAAAGTTGGCAGGCCTGACTACAGATGTGCATTCATACCTATTAATGCTTTTATGAATGCTCTTAGGTGTATATGACTTTTCTGATTTCAAATTAAATTCATCCGGTGAAAGTTACGTAAATAGTGCTCTCCAAATACGAAAGAGGAATTTAATAGTTAGATTTCCAGCTGAATATAAATCTTAATTTTTGATTCAGTTTTCTCAAGTTGGGTTAATGTTATCAGAAAGTGCCAGTCATAATTTGTTCTAGAAACTCGAAGAGCTTTTTTCTGTTTACTTGCGTTCATTACTCTTTTCCAACTGTCAGTTGGCTATTTTTTTATCAGTGTGTATGCAATAGAAAACTTTTTTTTTTCAGGTAAAAAATGATTCGTCACATTTTCGTTCATATGCTCAAGTTTTGTCGGCTTAGTTGCCACATCACGGATTTCCCTTGTGCTTTAAGCAAGTATCATTTTGGTTGCAAGTGTTGCTCATTGCAGTTTCAGGGGAACTTTTAAAAGTTGTCTGCTCACAAATTGTCGACTTTGTTTCCGCGTCCTAAGTTTTGTTCTGTTGCTAATTCAAAACTCAAATATCTTGCTTGGTTTGTTCGCCTAGATTTCCTGTTTGATAAAGATGTATTAATGGCAATATGTGAGATTGAGATTTTTACTTTTTTGAGACGCTTCGGACAATTTTGAGACGCCAATTTTCGGCGTATCTATGGAAAGACCGTCTCCTCCTTTGTGTGCTTGGTACTCATCTAGTCTCTTTCTGCTTTGCCCCTCTGTCTGGAGCTTTGGAAAAAGTCTCTGGGAATATTTGACATACATTTTTATATTTATATATATATTTTTTCGTTTTCTCGGAAACTACCCTTACAAATTTGAGATTTCGGGTCCAATGGATAAAACGGGTCGGGGAAAGATCCCATGTATAAGCGACTCCGCTCATTTTATACACAAAAAGTTAAGGCCCTCGGAGTTGTCAAGTATATGATTTTTTGAGTTTTTTTCGAAAACTAGCCTCTCCAATCTGAGACTTTAAATTCAATCCAAAAAACGGCTTGTGAGAAGCCCACCGGCATCTGCAGCTTCTCCCGAATATTTTCGTTCAAAAAAGTATGGCCTTCGGAAAAGTCAAAATTTTGATTTTGAACGATTGTTGAACCTTCTTGAATTTTCTCGAGTACTACCCTCCCAAAAAGTCATTTTATAGTGGTGATAAGCTCCGCTTGGCCTCTGTGCTTCGCCTTTCTGTCGATATTGTTTTCAGAATTGGCATTTGCGCTCTACTACAACGAAACACTTTCAACAGCTGCTAGAATCCTCGTAATTTTTTTAATTGATTGAAATTCTTTGTTCGCTTTGAAATGAGGGGTTTTAAGCTAATGACAGTAGTAGATGAAGACGTGCTTGATTAAGATTGTTGGTTTTGTGAGTAGAAATACCGCACACAGACCGAGGGAGTGACATTTCTCCATGAGACGGAGGAAAACTCGCCCTTCTTCACCATACCTGGCCTGGACTATGTCTCTCACGATGACATCATGCCCTACTCATCCCTCTCTCTCAAACCCATACAACACAACCTCCTCGACAAATTCATATCGTACGAGCCCACCACAGGTATAGCTACACAAGACGACATACATAGGGCGAATGACCGATTCTTTTATGAAATTGTGATTAAAGTTCGGTCTTTTGCTATTTAAAAAATATTAATTTTTCATTACGCTTGCGATTAGCAAGCGCAATCAAACTGGAATATAGACTTTTTTTCGGTTTAACATCTTGTTCAACAGAATCACTTGTATCTTGGGTCATAATGAATTCAAACTTCTTTGCTTTCCAAGGCAACTTAGCCTGGAGGTAACGATTATGCCTTGGACAGAAAGGTCCTGGGTCCGAATCTGACCGGGATGTTTTTTTAAACGGTGAATATTTTGTTTGAAATAATATTTTCGGTCATTTATTTGTCTGCTTATTTGTTGTCGGCTTAGTTGTCACATCTTGGAATCATTTTTTTTACTGCGCACATTTTTCTTTAATGTGGTTTTTGGTGTTTGATTTAATCGTACAAGAGATATAATTTTACTTACGTCGACTTCATATTTCCTTCTGTTTTTTTTTGTTTCGCTAAAAAAATTAATTCGGCATGTTTTACGGCCCTCGGGTTAGTCAAATTGACCGAAAACTAACCTCTCAAATCTGACATTGTGGGTTCAATGGAATTAACGGGCAGTGGGAAGCTCCCCTGTATTACCGGTCACTTATAATTTTTTTAACGCACTCCCCTGTATTACCGGTCCTCTGTATTACCGGTCACTTATAACCGGTATTACCGGTCACTTATAATTTTTTTTTAAGTTATCGTCCTCGGAAAAGTCAGGTTCGTGTTCAGATCGTGAATCCATTCTGCACAAGTTTACCATATTTTCACACAAAAAGCTATTGTTCTCGGAAATGTCATTTTAAAAAAATTTGACCCGTTTTTTGGACTTTTCTCCGTTTTTTTACCGTCTTTTGGACTTTTCTCCGTTTTGTTGACCGTCTTTTGAACTTTTCTCGCTAACCATCCTGTCAAATCTCATATCATAGGTTTAATCGAAACAAAATTTTGCTGTAAGCTTTCATTTGAAGTTGGCCATGCCCAGTTTGTTTAAGAAAAAAGTTATGGTCTGCAAACAAGGCAAAATTATGATTCTTTTTGACTTTACGCAAAAATTTACCGTGCCAATTCTCAGGTTGTTTTTCATCCAAAAAACCCAGTTTCAAGAATTTCCGCTGCCTTAGTAGCCACAAACTGACTGCTTTTTGTAGAAACACTCTTTGAGTCTTATGACCGTTTTTTAGAACATTCGACCGTTTTTTTTAGAATTGTTTTGAATTTTCTTAAAGTTTTTACAATCAAATCTGAGATGAAAAGTTCAATTGAGAAAACTGGTTGAGATAATTTTTCCTGCAGAAGCGGCGACTTATTAATTTTCTAAAGAGAATTTTATCTCCTTGGGAAAATGGATTATCTCAAAATTAGTAGACAAACAAGTAAGGTTTTGGACTTACGTTTTTTTTTTAATGTTTGTGTTGTTTCGCAAGTGGCGCGAAGCTCTGCTTCGCCTCTGTGTAACTTCTCGAACTAGCGAGATTAGTGCTATAACACATCTGTTTTTTTTGAACCCAACTCGCATGAAATAGTGTCAGTTCGGTAACTCTAGCTGCTACGTAGAATTGACAATTTATTAGCATGTTTTCGATTCGATACGCTTTATTAGTGGCTAGTGTATAGCTCTTTTTAACGGACCTGGGCTGAGATTAGAGGTCGTTTTACTCGTCATCTCAAGCTGGGTGGTTTGATTCTTTTTTATTATCAACGTTTATTTTTGATTTCTTTCTTACCTTTTTGGAGTTACTTTTTGCCGTTGTCTCGCTTGTGCTCGCAAAGTGCAGCTGCCTATGTGTTAAATTTGAAAACTGATTACGATATATATCAGTTTAGCTTTTGAATGAATTGACGTTGCGGTATTCGCAGACGGTTTTCTAAACTTGTGATAACACGTGTTTCATAATCGAGTACTACAGTACTGAATTTAGTGAAGACTCTTAGATAGATCTTCGTGATTTTTTTTTGTTTTTTTTTTCAGGATGAAGTTTAAAAATGCTTTAATACAACACGTTTATCCCTGGCGTTTTCTCAAATCAGTGCAAGCCCAACGACAATTGCTTCTTGGATGTATTTTTTTTTAGTTTGACAACGAATTCGCTTTCCTTGTTATTTTTTGAAGTAACCGTTTTTTTTGTTTCAACCAATGAAAATGGGGAGGAACATGTGTTTTTGTGTGATTTTTCTTTTTTGTTTTCACGGAAATTGAGGTACCACAAATAATCAGCGTAATTAGTCGAATGGTTGAGTGATATATTTATTCTATTAAAGCCATCTTAGCCGTGATTCGAACGGCATTTAAAAAATTTAATCATTTGTCGAGGAAAACGGTTGGGAAATTTTTTGAGATTAAGTCTAATTTCGGTCGAGTAACGCGATCGAGTAACGATCGTGATATGAAAGTTGTACATTTAGTTTTTATATTTTTTTGGTAAAATTCGTTTTGTTCTTCCCAAGCTTTTTTTGTTTCTCGTCATTTTTGTACTCAATTAGTGCCTGAATTCTTCAATTGCGGTGATTTTTAACTAGCTGACTTTTCTTCAATGGGATAGTTGCAATAGGTGTCCATCTGGTTTTTTTCGGCATAATTGTCTTATTTTATTTTTTCAATTCTTAAGTGTCAATAATTTCAATCAAGCGTGACCTTAATTTTAAAATGGCGAGAATCGTGATCCTTCTCGTAGGTATTATGAGTTAGCATTTTCTCGAGTTTCAATAATAACACGTTTTTTCTTCATGCTGTGCTGTGTATTGATATTTTCGTTCTCATTTCGGCTTTGCGTATGTGAATCTGTTTGTTATCATGTTTAAGTGTTAACTACCAAATCAAAACAAAGAGAATTTTCGAAGGTCATTGCTTTTTTGCAATGATTTTTTTGGGTAACCGTTTTTTTTGCATAGCAAAAGGTGTGAAACACTTAGCTTCGTCTCTGTGCTGATTTAAAGATCAAGTTTGAGAAAAAAATTTACGCAAAATTTTGTCATCTCTGCAAACATTGTCATCGCTGAAAAAAGGTAAACAACTATTTTAACATTTTCTTTAAAAAAACGCCACCTAATTAGTTGTCTTCACTTCGTTCATCGATACTTATTGAAAAAAAGAGAAGCAGTAAGTAATCAGTTAGTAGGAGGTTTGATTATAAGCATTAAACTACGATATTGTTAAGACATGTAGTAGGCAGGCGCACAGTTTTCAAGAATTTGTGTGTCGCAAACTGAGCATCTGAAAAATGGCAGCTCAGTTTTGATGGCATCGCTTCACTAAAAGTCGATGAGCGAAGAAAACCATTTAGGTTGCGTTTTTTTTCAAGAAAATGTCTATAAACTTGTTTTCGCTCAATTTTTATAGCGGTTTGTTTTTTTACTTTTACATAGTTCAGTCTTTTATATAGGTGCTGATGATTTTTTCGGGAAAACTTTTGAAAGTTCAGGATCAAATTTATTTTTTCGTGGCTTGACTTTTGATTCCTTTTTAAGTTCAGCTCATTTCCATGTTGAAAAGAAGGCAAACTCCACTATCGAACAGCGAAAATTTAAAGGTGCTACAAACGTGATCGAAATCTAGTTTCGAATAAGTAATTTAATTTTAAGATTTCCCAGCGGAATAAAAAACTTACCTATTGATCTAGTTTTCGCAAATTGGGTTAATTAAATAAAAATGTGTCAAGTAAACTTTTCTAGAAAGTCAAAGAGCCTTAAAAACATCGAATTTTTTCAGCATCAAATTTTTCAAAAGTCCTTATTTTTTTTTCGCCTTCATTGACTCTTTTCCAACGGTCTGTTGGCTATGTTTTTATTTTCTAAATGGGAGGATAATTACTCCAATGACAAAAATGCAAATAGTGCGAAAAACTTGAGCATTTAATTGTTTCAAAATTGGAGTTTAATTCTTAGATTTTCTAGGGGAATAGAAAAATTATCTTTGATCTTTTTTTCCTCTAGTTGGGTCAAGTTTAGCAGACAATTGAAGGTGGTATATTTTTTTCTTTGAAACTCGAAAAAAATGTCAATCGTCGTTTCCATCGTCTCTTTTTCCAATAACCTTTTAGCTATACTCTAAGTGTTGCAGCACATTTTTGCAAATTGATGTTACTGTGATTTAGAGCCCCCGTTTGTGGCACGCCATGCCTTGAAAGAGTGGACATCGCGGAACAGGTTTTGGTTGGAGCCAACAGATGTGTACAAAGAAACGACCAACGACATCAGGGTGACTGTCATCCCTTTTTACATGGGTAGGTAGCGAGAGATTTATTGAACTACAGAAGACACTTGAATATAGGTCGTGATGATTTAATTCGTTTTCGTTTCAAGAAAAGTTGGGCTCAAATTTACTTTTTCTCGGTTTGACTCAATTTTTACACAAGCAAAGCTTGTGTTATAGAATGAATAATCTTTTTTTTCCAACCTAAGTCAGAAAAATTCAAAAAAAACTACCACCAGTATTAAATAAGCTTTTGTTTTTCCCGAGCGGAACCTAAGCCGACAAAAAAGTGGGTAGACGCCCATTGAGCCGAGAAAAAAATGCCAGAAGAAATTTTTGTCATTCAAAAATTTTTGATCAATTAAGTTTTGAAAGCTTGAATTCTTGCTGCAAAAACTACCTGAATTTTCCGAAAAAATCGATCATTTTTGCCTTTTAATAGACACAAAAGAAGATATCTAAGCCCATTTAAAGCTGAAAACATTTGGGCCGAATAAACCCTTTAAGCAAAGGAAAAAAGACAGGAAAACTAAGTAAAACATACGAATTGGTATTAATTTTTATTAACTACAGGAGTAACCCAAAAACACTTGCATACGATGAAAATTGCCGACAGCACAAGAAAATGCCCCGATGTGGCAACTAACCCGATAACACATTCACTTTTCCGGAAATAGAATTATCAATTTCATACATATTGAAAAAAAAACCAAGGTCCGCGAACTCCACACCTCAGGGTACAAAGGCGTCCGCACTTATCTTTAGGCCAAGTGGGAAAAGGTATCGGAGTTTCTTAGGTTCACAAATCAAGCAACTTCGCAGTTTTTTACAGATGTGTAAGACAAGAATCTTGCTTTCGGAAGTGTAATCAATCACTAATGTGTTCTCTTCGTCAGGTTGCAAGATGAAGAACGACACTGGTGGCAACGGAGGTAGTCTGGCTCTCAACAACTACTCTGGCACTGTTCCTCAGTACTGGTGGCGCTACTGCATCAGACTGGAGAACATTGGCACCCAGAACGTGCAATTGTGTGAGCGGAACTGGCGTATCTTCTCCATGAATGGCAGTCTGGAAACTGTGCGCGCCAGAGGAGTCAACGGGGTGGTCAGTAGTGCCGAATTTTGATTTCCGTTTTTATATTAAAGGTGATGCTCGGCTAAAGACTTGTGCAAAATAAAAATGAAAGTGAAAGTAACACAAAAGAATTTTTGTTTGAAACATCAGGTGGACTTAGTGTACAGCATGCTTTTTGGTCTGATTTTATTGCAATGGGTTGATTAATAATTACGCTTGCGATTAGCTAGCGTTATCAAATCGGAATGTAGACTTTTTTCCGAGTTAACAACTAGTTTTACAAAATCAGTTGAATCACTTGCTGATTTTACTTGCTGATTTCAATGCTGACATGCTCAATTCCATGAAAATTCAAATTTAACTGCTAGGTCGGTACTAGTTACTACAGGGAAGTTTCAGTGGGGACTTGAAACTTTTACAAGTTTTATACAAAACGATTTTTTTCCGGCTCAATTGGTGTCTGCTTAAAGATTTTCGGACTTGTTTCCGCTTCGTAAGTTTTGTTCAGTTGCTAATTTGAATTTTAAATGTCTTGCTTGGCCTGTTTGCCTTGAATTCCTGTTTGAAAAAAAAACAGGTTTCATGAAAATGTATGTGATTAGGTTTTTTACACAAGCATAGCTTGTGTTATACTATGAACTATCCTTTTTTTCCAACCTAAGTCGCAAATATTGTTGCGATAAAATGTGTTCATTTTGAAAGCGTTCATTTTGATCAATAACCAGCTATTAAGTACAGCCAATGCTAAGGATATTAACACCCGACTATTATTGTTCCGACTTCCGTAACGAAATTAACGGAATTTTTTGTGCTCGGGGTGGGTTTTTTTTCTTCCGACAAAATTCGACTTTTTAACCAGCCATTTTTGACGGAATTTTTTTTATATCATTCCAAAGGTATTGTTGTCTTGAGCTTAAATTCGAAAAGATTTTTAGCCTGTATCATTTTTCGTAAGTTTATGAGTGTTTAAAGTTTGTCAATTTGGGAAAATTAATGCGCGATCTATTTCGGGCTATGAACGCGTAAGCGGAGATGTAATCCGTCTTAGAAATCGTTCCAAGTTTATCACTTTGTACTTTTTATGGCGTGTTAGGGGGTTGATTTTTTCAAAAATCTCGAATTAAAAAAAAATCATTTTAGTTTAATTAATTATTAATTTTTTCATGTTATTTTTGCTTCATAGACCTTAAAAGGCAGTCAGAACATTCAGAATATTGCCTTGATACGAGCAGTTTTGTATTAAAAATAGTTCTTTAGCTTCAAGGTATCATAGATCTTTAGCGTAGAGGTAGTGAGGAGACCCGCAACAAAACTTTTTCGTATACTAGCTAAAATTCCTGTTTGAAAAAGGCTGTAGGGGTGATCAAAAACTAACCTACCTAATCTGATATTTTTGTTCCAATGATTAGAGCGGATTTGGAAAACTCTCCTCCATAAACGGTTACGCCCAAATTTTTTTAACCTAAAATTATGGCCCTCGGAAAAGTGAAATTTTTCGACCGTTTTTTTGAATCTTTTTTTTTTCCCCAAAAATTAACCTCCCAAACTTGATGTTGAGTGTTCAATGGAGATAGCGGGTTGTGAGAAGCTTCCCCGCATTAGCGGCCACTCACAAAATATTTAATGAGCTCTACCAAAAAATACCCTCCGATATCTAAGATTTTAGGTTAAATTCAAAGAACTGATTATGGGAAGCTCTTTTGCATACGCCCAATTTTTTGACTCCATAAATTTTGGCCCTCGGAAAAGTCAAAATTTTGATTTTTTGAAACTTTTTTTGATTTTGCGGGAGAACTACCCAGTCAAACCTTGATTTTTGGGTTCAATCGAAATTACAGGTTGGGTGAATCTCTTCGGCATAAGCGGCTAGGTGCAAATTGTTTTAAACAAGCCATGATTCTCGGAAATGTCAACTATCTGATCTGTTGACCGTTTTGATTTGTTGATCGGTCGAATAGCTTGTTTAAAGCTTTCCTTTGTAATTTGCTTGTTTGTTTTTAAAAAAGTTATGGACTTCAAACAAGTGAAAGTTTTGAAACTTTCGGCCGTCTTTTTGGACGTTTTGTGACTTTACTCGACGATTACCGTTGCCAATTCTTAGATTAATTGTTCAATCGAGAAACGGTATTTTGGGAATTTTCTCTACTTTTCCGGTCACGACCTACATTTCGCAGAAATGTTATGTCTTTTGCAATGCTCCAATATCTCAAACGTTAACGTTTCACTTTTTTGTAAGAAATATGATGTCTTTGGCAACATTCCAAAGTCTCAAACACTCTTAAGGACTAATTTTAGTAGAGAAACAACCAGAGTTTTGGACAAAGTTCAATTTTGAAATTAAGCATTTCGTACGGCATCAGTATAACAAATTCAAAAAATATCAAACACGTGCTTCCAGCTTTAGCTGGGCCCTAGGTGTCCTTCCTCGAGTTGCACGAAATTTTTGTTTCACCTAGTTTTTCTCAATATTTTTTAAATTTTTTTTTGCGACTTATGTTTCTTTAATGATTTTGTTGTATCGCAAGTGGTGTGAAGCTCCGCTTCGCCTCTGCGTTATAAAAGCGATGCGCAGCGTATAAAATCAGAGCTCATTGTCTTGTATTTTTTCATAACTTATTCTTATTTAGTGCAAAAATTCTCACAATTTTTATGGTTGAGGCTATATTGGCATAAAAGTTCATTCAAGCGTTGTGTGGATGTTTTAGGAACCCTTATTGAGTATGGATATGCCGGCTTTCCAATATAGCAGTCATGTCAGTCTTTACACGCCCTCGGGACACATGTGGTAAGTAGGTGCCCGATTATGGCATTGTGGCGCATCGGTAGTGATGGCGCCCAGCAATCATATGATTGCGGGTTCAAATCGCACGTGCGCTGTAATGTACAAGATGAGCTCTTGTAAGATAGGTATAGCTTTGTTAACCTTGAATAAGTAACCTCCGGGTTAGGCCTCTGGCTGGTGAACTAAAAAAAAATACTACTCACCGAACGCCCGGTGAGTAGTATTATATGGTTAGTTATTATATGGTTAGTATGGTATTATATGGTTAGTATGGTATTATATGATTAGTATAATTGGTATTTTTATTAATACTGTGCATAGCATTGTTTAAGTGTTACTGGCTGAAAACAGGTTTCAGTTATATAGCTTGAGTGGTTTTTATCAGCAGATGTTTTAAAATTTGTCACGCTAAGTTCTGGCGGTTTATATTGTGAGGCTATTTCCTTTTTCAAGCAGCGCTCCTGTCGGCTATGTTCTTCCTTTTAAATGGTGAATTGCTTTCTTTCGATTGCAGGGGAACCTTCCGAATCCGGACTAGAGCTGGAAAAGCATTTGATGTTAAAGTGCCTCCTTTCACACTGGAAAGCAAGACGGCGTCAAGAGATATTAGCGGTAGCACAGACGACGAGCCGGAAAAGTGATCGATTTGAAATGACCTCTCAAACTGATTTAAGAAGTGCTGTTATTTGCACTCCGAACTATTTAACAGTTGATTCAATTATTGTGCTAGATGTAATATCGTAGGGTAGTGAAACGAAATTAAAATTTTAAACAGCTTCTGGGGCGACAGTTAAGTCAAAATGAATGAATTAGAACTAGGATGAATCAGTGTAATAAATAAAAAAACGTTTCAGCTCCCAATTATCTTCAATCATTGCAAACGTGTCCTTTCTAGATACGGGCTCGAGTGGAGTATCACGCGGCTCTTTGCCGAGTTTTCCAGTGTAGTTGTTTTCAGCATTATATGAAGTTTTGCTAAAAGTGAATCATATTGGTAGAGATAGCGTTTCACCGCTAAGTTACGCTGATATCTATAACGTCTAATAAATAGAATGGGGAATGGCGGGGAAGACCTAAGACATGCATTTCCGTGGGTTTCAGGCCCCAGCTGAGATTTAACAAAAAGCTGCTTCGTCTACTATAAAACATCAAATCAAGAGAATGTCAAAATAATGGAAAAGGTAAGAATTCTACAGAAGCGAGAAAGCAAAGGGAGAATAAAAGCCAACGCCATGGACACTAAAATGGCCTAGATTGCAATAAAAATGGGAGACTCCTTCGAACTTCGAGACTCTTCCCACTTAGCATCTAAACCCTGGCGGATCTTTTTTTCAGTATGTATGAAATTGAAGTTTTTATATTCCAGAAAAAACTGAATCGTCGGACTTGCAATTGTCTGCTTATGTTTTGTCGGCTTAGTTGCGTCATCAAATAATTTTTTGTGCCATTAACAATTTTCATCGTAGATGCAAGTGTTTTTGATTTTCCTTGGTTTTCCTTATTGTTAGCGTGAAAACTGTTCGACCAAAATGGTTTCGTTTTGTGTTTTAGTGGTATAGTTACCTCAAGAGTCGATGAACGTAGTTTCGTGATGATTTTATTCGTTTTTGTTACAAGAAAAATTCAGGCTCAAATTTACTTTTTCTCGGCTTACTAATTTTTTACTCAAGCAAAGATTGTGTTATAATATGAACTATCTTTTTTTTCTAACCTAAGTCGCAAATATTGTTGCGACGCAAATATTGTTCCGATAAAATGTGTTCATTTTTAAAGCGTTCATTTTGATCAATAACCAGCAATTAAGTACAGCCAAGAGCCCCAACGGTATCTACTTTTTTGAAAATCGACTTACTATTATTATTTGTTTACTAGAAGCCATTGGCTTTTCCAAGTGCCTATTAGCTCTGTGTTTGGGTCGCTTCAAAGGCAAAAAAGACAAAGATTTTTTTTTTTTCAAAAAAATGAGATTATTTGTGTTCAAATTTTTAAAGCTAATCTTGTCTTTTTTTATGACACCAATTTCTTAGGGCATTTTTTTTGTTTTCGGCGCAATAGGCATCTACCAACTTGTTGTCGACCTAATGACTGCTCGGTAAAATCTAAAATTTTATATATGGCGATTGTGTTTGTCGACTGTTTTTCTAAAATTGGTTCCAGTTTTTACCAAACTTTTTCTTCGACTTTGTTGTTTCGGTCTCGACATTTTCTATTTGAGAGCTGGCAATGCTGCGATTGTGTTGTATCGCAAATGATACAAAGCTCTGCATTGCCTGTGTGTAGATTTTGCTGTGGTTAAAAACAATTACAAAATGATATAGTTTTCTCAGTTTGAGCTTATGTTATCAACAAACTGTCAATCGTAAAAGTAATGTGAAAAATTTAAGGGTACTAACAAAATTCGAAAGTGTTCAATTCAGTTTCCAAGTTACCAAAACAACCATGGTTGAGACGACAAAGCCTGCGAGTTCAATTCCATTCGAGACTGTTTTTTCACCACCTGATAACTTTTGGCCACTTTAAATTATGTTCTGTCTGCATATTTTTGTCGGCTTAGTTACGTAAAAAGAACTTTTCGAAACTTCAGTTTCTTTCTAGAACTCTGAAAGCTAATTTTTCTCATGATGCAGATATATTCAGGTTTTTGCAACAGTTTTACTGACAAAAACAATTTTTTGAGGATTTTTTCTCAAGAGACGCAAGAGTCAAATGTAAAAAAAAAAGTTTTTTAATTTTGACAATATACCATAAATGTATATCAAGTACGCTCTGAGTACTATCAAACTAAAATTCGTCAATACTTTGATTATTTACGATGGGTTTTCAGAAATTGGGAGAGAAAACATCGTACGGTTAGACGCAAACAAAAACAGAGTTGAGTCGCAAAAAAAACTTTGCTCAGCAAGTTGAAAGTGGGGAAATAATAATAAACTGATTACGCTTAGACAGGCCTGACAGCCTTCAATAGATTCTGTGCAAATGGCAGAAATCTTCTTGATTATTCTTGAGACCCTCCATATTGTCTTTCACATTTTCTTGCAGTTAGGACATTAAACGTTTTGTTACTTTAATACAATACAATCATCAATGCGTACTTGAACGCATAGTGTTTCTCAAACCTTTTCATGTTCGCAGTCTATCAAATTTTGTCCGTCAAGACATAGAACGGCCGAAAAAAGGCTACTCGATGAGACTAAAATTCCAGCAGCAGAATGAGACTACTTGCAGAGCAATCACGATCGCGATACAAAATTTCATTATTCATCGAATACGGATCTGTAACGCTGCTGATAGTGTCAAGACATTCTGCAAATAGAAGAAGTCAATTTTAGAAGATTTTGGCCCGGATTGTTTTCGGCAGGCCTTTTCTTTACCGATCAAACAGCCGCCACGTTTTAGAACAAATGGGAGTATAAAAAGTTTCAAAAAACTAGCATTTGCAGCAAGCAATTCGCAAATAGTAAATATAACAAAATACGCTAATAATAGCCACTATTAATTGATTCGTTCTGCGCTTAGACCATTATGCTCAGTGCATCATCTTTTTTGGACGGGAAATACCTCATCAGCAAGATCGGGCAAGATAGGCAGTTTAGCTAAAAAAAAAGAAAGAAAGAAATAGGAAGAGGGAGAGAAAAATTTTTATGAACTTATTACCCTTTTATGAATTTTTGATTTTTATATTATGAATTTTATAACATTTATGTAACAGTGTCTTGCGGGAAACGCTTTGATATAGTATGCTAGTTTCATTGTTTTTATAATGCAGCTGAAGAAATTCAACGTTTTAAAGATAGCATTTGATAAGAAAACATTTGTTAAATAAAAAAAAAACAATTGTTTATAAATTTTATAATTTTTTATAAATGATGCATTTTTGGGAGCGGTGGTGAAGTGGTTACGTCTCCGCCTCTCAATCGAAAGGTCGGATGATCGAGGCCTACCATGATTCGTGCTCGTTGCTTGAGGGTAAAAGCAACATTACCCAGCCCAGAAAAATAACCCAAAAAAATAGCATGAGTTCGTAAACAGGGGCACAACAGCGGTTCGCCGTGATGAGCTGTACAGCTCTTGTGTTGGTCCTTTCCCCCGTGGATAAATGGTCTTAAAATGATCATAAGTTTCTTGCCTTTTGTTTTCGCATTTTGAATTAGCAAAAATTTCTCTTCAATTCAATTTTTCGCTTATTCGACATACTTTTGGGATGTTTTTTTTGAAAAGAGTGATACAGCTCCTTCAAGACTGTTTTGTCGAAATTTGAGCTGCCTTGCAAAAGATTTCAAAAAATTCTTTCGTTGTTTGAAATTGTAGTTGTCAGAACATACTTAAATAGTGCACAGCAATTGGCTGCTGTTTTTCTGAAATTTGCGTAAACTGAAGTTCATCGTTTGTAATTGAATATAAATTTATAGTATGTGCGTTCTCATTGTTCATTTTATTCTGCCGGTGTGAAATAAAATTGTCGCTTGAGCTGAAAATTCTAAAATAAGCTCTTAATTTTTGTTGGGTGCTCAAGTTAGAGCTGAATTAGAGAAAAAATGAAAGCTGTCTGAAAAAATTTGGCATCCAACACAGGCTAGCTATTGGGAAAGCTTGCATCTTAGATTTATGTCTGACTAAAGCTGCGGAAGAAACAGTAATAGTGATTCGGAGAGTGAATTAGAAAGTGGTTGTATGACAATTTTTAGAATAATTTAAAACAATCTAAAATTCATTTGATCCAATCTCTGAATACGAGCCGCTGAGTGTCAAGTGATCGATTGCAGCTAGAAGCTATTTGTACTTGATTCCTGCTTTCAATACATGCTCGCCGTTTTCTTTTGTCCGTCACGTGGAAAGTAGTTGCCAAATGGTCGTTTTTCCAACATTCGTTTCCATTGACTTCGCGGCTGATGCATGGTTTCGATCTGTTCCATTTCTCCATTTCGCAAACCGTCGATGAGTCTGCTGTACAAAAGTGCATCTCCTTCGTAAGTATGCAAGGGACGCCACTCCGGAAAACCATCTCCTCTACCTAAACAAACATTTCATTCAAAAGACAATGGAAATAAAAACCGTAAAAGAGCACTATTTGTATCAAAAGACAACTTTGAACGTTCTAACAGCCCTTTCAATTTCTCTAAAGCAGTGTTTATCAAAATAAAAATAAAAAGTCGAAGACAAAACAAAAAGAATTCAGCGAAATAACCGGTTTAAAAAAATGATAGTGCGTATTTAATCCTTCAAAATAAACAGAGGCAAAGCTGAGCTTTGCACAACTTGCCATACAAAACAAAAAAGCCGCTAAGTCAAAATAATTTAAAAAAAATATTCAAGTCTAGAAAAACAAAGCGGTAACAAAGCTGAAAATACCTTAGCAAAAACCCATTAAGCCGAAAAAATCATCAATAAGACTTATAAAAAGTCACCCTCACCCTCAAACACACCCACAAACACAAAAATTATCATCGCTCGTCAAATGAGACATTATAGGCCGAAGCCGATTACGCCTAAAAACAACAAAAAAGGCGACAAAATCAAGACTTAAGACAAATGAAAAGTTATTATGTCCCTCACCCTCAAAACACGTACAAACAAAACATTTTGCTCACCGAACGATATAACGCAATTTGAAGCCACTAAACTGATGTAAAATAAGCTAAAATCTATCAACTGAAAAAAAAAGAAAAGAAAAAAATTGAAATCTTAACAAATCGAGTTGGTAATATAACAACCAACATGAAAAAATTTTTTTAAAAAAACAAATAATTTTGTTTCATACAAGCTTCCAGCAAATGAGTCCAGATGAAAGCGTCCTGTGAGCAAAGTTAGTTACGAGAAAAAAGACTAGTACTCGATTGCAATGCCCTTGCTGATCGCTAGGTAATGAAACAATAACAAATCGCGAAACATTAGGAGGGTGCACACGTAAATTAGTTTATAAGAGATTAATTCACTTTCCATATAAACTAGGTTAACGCCAATCATTAAAACAGAAATATGTTCAGATCTATTTTTCTCCACACTGAGACAACATTTTCAATTTTTCGAGATAAAAATGGATTTATGAGGCTTCAATAAGATTCCGCGACATGATTCCCTTCCTTGTGGTACCTTCAAACGGCTAAAGAACCCGACCCTACGCTATATTTCCTTCCAGTAACTTTAATGGCGTAATCGCAATAACAAAACTACTCATATCAAGGCAAGGCGCTGATTTTGCCGACTGCATTTCAAAACACTCTTAAGTTTTTGTAAACAAAATGAGAAAAAAATGAATAAAATTCTCATCTGAAGCAAGTGATTTGCCTCGAAGTAGTTTCAAAAGAAATTTTTGCCAAATTGATTGTCAGTTTACGATCTATGTTGTCAAAAAAGTTGAAATTTTGCATGCATTAGTTGTCCCAAATAGTCAAAATGGCTAGTTTCACCTCGCTCAACAAACTTATGAAAAAAAAGCTAGTGCAACAGGCGCTTGACATCATTTTTTTAGGTGACCTCACTCGCCAAATACTTGCGCCCGGGCTAACCATCTAACAAAAAATCCTCTGCCTTAGAACTTCTTATAAGACTTGTAGGAAGCTTCCGCTATCTTACAACTTTTTTATAAGACAAGTTCTAAAATAGTAACTTTTCCCCAAAACTAAAGAAATGCCAAAAACACCTTAAATTAACGATAAATATAAATTTTCGAAAAAATTTGTTTTTCTGTTAAGTTTATACACGTAAAAAATAGATACGTTTTAGATAGTGAGTATAATATACGCATTTCAAATAAAAATCGTTGAAGCAAAAATTTTGATTTTTTACAACAGTTTTCCTAACTATAGGTATTTGGTGGTTCAAATTTTTTTTGGAGGCATAACAAATCAATTTTGACGAGTCATGTCATATAGCTTGGGGCGTGCAGTAATTTTGGCCTACGAGCTTCGTTATTGTGCTTTGCGACAGTGGGGAACCTGTAAATTGGATAAAAGAAAAAAGTTTTAATATTAAAATTGAAAAACAAAAACGAAAATTTTAAAAAAGTGTATCTTACAACTTTCTTCTGAGAAAAGTTACTTTCATTCACCTTTCTTTAAAAAAAATCCATATCTTATCACTTTATTAGAGCCTTATTTTGAAATAAGGTGTAAAATTCTTATAAGAAAATTTCTAAGATAGAGACTTTTGGTCAACCCGGTCGTCTACTGATATATTGTTTGATACCATTAGCCCGCCTCGACTGATTTATAAAGAACAAATTTTAAACCAGATTAGTTCGTCACCTATTCCTCTCAATGATAAACCATGGGAACACTGATAAAACATTATTTCATTAGGACACGTTTCAAGCCTTCGTTACTATACTAACAAAATTGGCAGTAAAAAAAAGCGTTTTGATTGCAACTCAGGGTATAAAAATCTTTCAAATGCAAAAAAAAGTCAGAAATTGTTAAGAGAAAGTCAATATTTATCTGGAGAAAAAGTTAACCCATACAAATATTCATACCATCATGTTTGTCGGAAGTTGGAGCAAAATTACGAAATTACGCTCGAAAAGAAAGGGAGGTAGCAATCTTGAATGACAACTAAAGTTTCATTATTCAATTTTTGTTTATAAAGTTAACTGAATATATGCATAGAAAAGCTTTCTCTTCTGATTTTTACAGGTGATCGAAAAAAATTAGTTTTTGTCACACAAATTTCCAAAAACTTTTTAATTGCTTTTTTGAGCTGTATAAATCAAATTTGACCAGATTGAACTCAAGCATTTTAAACACTGCGCTTAGCAAAACATTTAGAAAAGTAGTTCAAACTTGAGTTCACGTAACCATGTTTAACTGAGACTGCTGGGATCAAGCTAACATTATCTTTCCCTGCGTTTATTTTGTAAATGTTTTGCTTAGCGCAGCGTTTAAAATGCTCGAGTCTGGTTTACTATTAACTCTAACTTCGAACCAAGTTAAGACCCTCCCTCCTAAACTGCTTTCTGAGATGAGCGAAAGAATGTAACCTAGGTCTAACTAATGCACATCAATTTAACCCTTATAAAAGTTGGGATCTTGTTAACTACTTCGGCTTTTTTCCACTCCCCTACCCCGACAATTCAAATTTTAAACGCTGCGCTTAGCAAACCATCAGAGCATTTTAAACGCTGCGCTTAGCAAACCATCAGAAAAGTAGTTCAAACTTGAGTTCACGTAATCATGTTTTACAGAGACTGCTGGGATCAAGCTAACATTATCTTTCCCTGCGTTTATTTTGCAAATGTTTTGCTAAGCGCAGCGTTTAAAATGCTCGAGTCTGATTAACTATTAACTCTAACTTTGAACCAAGTTAAAACCTCCCTCCTAAACTGCTTTCTGAGATGAGCGAAAGAATGTAACCTAGGTCTAACTACTGCACATCACTTTAACCCTTATAAAAGTTGGGATCTTGTTAACTACTTCGGCTTTTTTCCACTCCCCTCCCCCGACAATTCAAATTTTCAACGGCTAAATGCGTACTATTACGATGTAAAGTGTCAGGACCAAATCTGTTTGACATTTGCTGGTTACTTCATCATGCAAAATTTAATTGCTTCTTGACAATGTTGAAATAGTTTTTAAAACTTGAAATTCAAATGCGGGAGTGGACGGAAAGTAGTCTAGAAGTTAAATTAGTTTTGTTCAAACTGTCTGATTGTTATAAAAATTGACATTCGGGCTTTTTTTCTCTTTCAGAAAAAAAATTCGATTTCAGTTTAAAAAAGTTGGATTTCAGTTGAGTTTCAGTTTTAAAAAACTATTGTTATGATATCATAATGAAATGAAACTTGCATGGTGAGCAAACTCACAATTGTGATAAATTTGTTCACATAATTCATATCGTAACCTTACGCGTTCAACCATAATACAACTATAAACAAGTTAAACAACTATAAAAACTGAAAACTTTAAATGTGGAGGGGGTTGGAAAAGAGCCTCCCCCATTTCGATTATCAGAAATTCAACTTTGTTTGCCACATTTTCATTACTCAACGACAATTTTCATGCAATATTTAATTAAAGTTTTCAAGGTATATATTAGATAAATACTAGTAATATAAATACGAACGCGCCAAAATGAAAACACAATAAGTTGGTGACATTTTTGAAATGCATATTTCATATACAGAAAATGTTGTCAAAAAATACATGCATAGGGGTAATAGTTGACAAGGTACAAAAGAGGGCGAGAATAGTTAACAAAAATTGTATCATAAATTTATAACAAACAGCTGCTATGAGTCTATACGTTCCTAGACGTTGCACAGCATAATTGTTAAAAACGAAAATATGATAATAAATACATCGGTCAATTGTGTTCATGGGTTAATTTATTTCCATTCAATTTTTTCGAATGAAAAAATTCTTCAGTCTTAACTGTGTCCAACTCTTTCGAAATGCATTTCTCCGGTCGCTTCTCCCCGATTGCTGTTAATTTTGCTTCGGTTGCGCCGATATTTTTGGTCGCGCCGGTCGCGGTTAACTTTCCTTTGGTCGCGCCGGTCGCGGTTAACTTTCCTTTGGTCGCGGTTAACATTCCTTCGGTCGCGCCGGTCGCGGTTAACTTTCCTTTGGTCGCGCCGGTCGCGGTTAACTTTCCTTTGGTCGCGGTTAACTTTCCTTTGGTCGCGGTTAACATTCCTTCGGTCGCGGTTAACATTCGTTCGGTCGCGATTAACTTTCCTTTGGTCGCGGTTAACATTCTTTCGGTCGCGGTTAATTTTCCTTCGGTCGCGGTTAACATTCCTTCGGTCGCGGTTAACTTTCCTTTGGTCGCGGTTAACATTCCTTCGGTCGCGCCCATTGCGGTTAGTTTGCCTTCGGTCGCGGTTAACATTCCTTCGGTCGCGGTTAACTTTCCTTTGGTCGCGCCGGTCGCGGTTAACATTCATTCGGTCGCGGTTAACTTTCCTTTGGTCGCGGTTAACATTCCTTCGGTCGCGTCGGTCGCGGTTAAATTTTCTTCGGTCGCGCCGGTCGCGGTTAACATTCATTCGGTCGCGCCGGTAGCGTTTAACTTTCCATTGGTCGCGGTTAACATTCCTTCGGTCGCGGTTAATTTTCCTTCGGTCGCGCCGGTCGCGGTTAACATTCCTTCGGTCGCGCCGATCGCGGTTAACTTTCCTTCGGTTAACTTAAAGTCCTGTTTGGTAAGCCAACGTTCGCACGTTCTAGAAATTGCGTTCGAAAAGTGCAGAATCAAGTTTTCAGATGACTGTTTGATCAGTATTCTGAACCTATTTCATTGGTATGATTGAATGCAAGTTAAAATTAAATGGCAAGTTGAAATTCAAGCAAATCTGATTTTTATAAGCGTTTTCATCAGTTACACCATTTTTAATGATCGCTCAATTATCATGGGCTTGTTTCAACGTATGAGTGTTTGAATGTTTGAAGGAACTCCCTTCTACTCACCTGGTTGCGCTGAGCTGCTCAAACAACAAATTATCAAGAAGTTAAGAAGAGCTAATGTTGGAAAAGTTAAGTTAGATCGAAACATTTTAAAATTGCTGTTTTTTCTTGTTTGGTTGGTACAAAAGAGGGACAAAGGAAAGTATGTTCACGTCAGCTTCAGATAGCAGCTAATTAATTTGTTCAGGTAGATGTATGACTTCAGCTATTCAAAAATAGCATCTAAGCACCAAAATGAAAAGTTTTCACTGATGAGCAATTATTAATTGTCCCCTGATAAATTCCTGTTTTTAATGAATGACTCCCGCGTGAAACGCTGAAACAATAAAACACAGCTGAGCAAAATCATAAATTAAATATTTAGATTATTAATTTTTCTCTGCCTTATTTGAATCTGCTATAGAACTTTAATGGTTTAAGGGAAAAAGTTAGATTAACATGTTAATAAAACTTTAATGGTTTAAGGGAAAAAGTTAGATTAACATGTTAATTAACAACTATGTCATAGCGAGGTGCCACGTCAACCCTTTACGTCAGTCGAACAAGAAAACGTCGGCGCTCGGTTCCCTCTAAGAACTTTGCATGATGCCTTTAACTTATATTTGGCAGAGGACAACAATTGAAAACGGGTTCACGTCAGCCTTCGAATATTTTCGTAGGTTGTATTCGCAGATGACGTATCAATATTGTGTACAAAAATACTAAAATTTTTCAATTCCCATGTTTTATTACTGTTGAGTTATACCTTTTCAGTGCCTGAACAGAACTATAAATTGTTTTATGTTTTAAGCGGTGAATTTTGCTTCGAATAGGCGGAAGTTTTCTTTACTGAAAATCAGATCGAAACGCAAAAACTGTTAGCCTCAATCGTAAATTAAAATTACTTTCTCTATTTTCCTGTTTATTCCTTTTTCTTCAACTACCCAAAATAGGGAACTTAAATGTTATACATAAAACTGCTCATAATTGATGATTACACATTTCCGATTGAACTCGAATTAGTGTCAAAAGCCAAAGGTCTTGTCACCTCATTTAAATGAAACATTTCTGAATTTGTGTTAAGAAGCTTTGAAAGCTAGAAGCGAAAGCAAATACCTAGAAGCTAATCAAATTCAATTTTTTTCAAAAAAGTTTTTAGTCCAGCTGATATCTGCTAACAACGCATTTGATATCTGCTAACAGGACAAAATAAATAAGTCTGCTTGAATTTCTCCTTTTTAACCAAACTTCCCTTCTTCCAACAATTTGCATTTCTCTTGATTTGAATTTTAGAATTTTGAATGATAGAAATTTCTTGATTTGAATTTTTGAATGTGTCGAAGGGGCTCATTTTTTTTTACCACACGCATTTTAAATCAACCCGTTTTTCAAAGGCGTCGACCAAAGTTTCAATTTTTTTTCAATTAAATCCTGATCCACGGAAAATCAGATCGAAACACTAAGACAGATTATTAGTTAGAGAGATGGTCAGTTAGAGATAGATTAATAGATTATTAGTTTATAAGTTTTAATAAAAAATTATTAATAGATTAATTATTAATAAACTAGTTTATTAATAGATTATTAGTCTTAAGAGATGGTCAGTTACAGATAGGTGAATAAATTATTAGTTAGAAACAATTTTCGATGGCAATTTGTCTGCTAGAATAACTTTCATGATATTTAAAATTGTTCTTTATCTATGTTTTCTCGTGTCCAAAATTCTAAAGTTTTTTATTAAAGAAGAACCGTTTCATGATCACAGAGACGAAGAGGCATTTTGCAAACAAGCAAAAAAAATGAAATTTTGGGACCACTTATATTGACTCAGACAAACTTGAAACACAGAGGTGTAGCGGGACATCGCATTACTAGCGATAAATAATGATGAATGTGTATGATGAGAATTAATTTCAAAAAATTTTATCTATTCACCAAAATGTTCTGAAATTCAAATTCCAATATAAACAGTCATTCAAATTAAAGTTTATTGCACGAATTTGTAGTTTATATCACGAATTCAACAATCAGCAAATTCTAGAAATTAAAAGAAAACTTTTTGTTTCATCTATTTTATTATCAGATGGAATCTAAAAAGATGACCAGTAGCTTGCTTGACACATGAGTGCGAAATAAAAACAAGACTGCTCGTATCAGGGCGAAGACCTGAATGTTCCGACTGCCTTTTAAAGTTTATGGAGCAGTAGTAACATAAAAGTATATGAAATGTAATAAAATAAAATCAAAAAAAAAATTCTTAAATTTGAATTTCTTTTATGAAATCATCCCCGCACACGCCATATACAGTACAAAAGAATAAATTTCGCTCAATGCAACAAATCAATTATGGCAAATAAGCTTCTTTCATTCAATTTGGAACAAATTCTAAGACGGATTGTATCTCCGCTTACGCGTTAATAGCACGAAATAAATCGCGCCTTAATTGTCCCAAATTGGCCAAAATGGCAATCTTTAAACCCCCATAACTTTACGAAAAATGATCACAGGTGAAATAATTTTTCAAATTTAAGCTCAGGACGACAACACCTTTTGAATGATTATCAGAAAATTCCGTCAAAAATGGCTAATTAAAAAGTCGAAATTTGTCTGAAGAAAAAAAACCACCCCGAGCACAAATATTCCGTTACTTTCGTATCATGACGAGACATAAACGAGAATTTCCAAACAATATCCAAAAAAACTACGGAAATAGAAAATCGCTCATCAAAATTGTTTGATGACTCTCCGTGCTACTTTCACATCAGAGGAGAAACAGAGCTTCTGTTGCAAGCTGGCAGACAGTAAATAAAATGAAAACTACTAGTGGAAAAACTTTAAAATGTCAAAATAACGGCATCTACAAAATTTTTTAAACTTTTTCTTCAAAGAAAGTTGAAATTGAGAAAAATACGTTCAAAAACACAACAGGGATAATTATTGAGCGGCACCCGACAACACTAGGGTAAACTCCCGTCGAGCCGTAAGTAAAAAAAATGCCTCGAAAAATTGAGCTATAAAGCTCTGACATTCCAAACTTTTACGCCCTCCTATTAACACTTTGCGAGCAACTACTTAAAATCATTTTTCAATTCAAAACACTCAAATTAGGTCATTAAGCAGAAAAAAGCCCAAACCAGTTAGACCCATTTAGGTTTTCAAGCGAAAACAACAAAAAATTATAAGTCAGAGTTATTAAATTTTACAATTCACAGAAGTCGCTAAAAAATCAGCAAAATGAAATTACAATTAAGCTTGTTCAGAGCACAAAAAACTGTTGGTTTCATTGCAATTAGGCCGACAAAAAATAAGCAGACAAAATATAGCACGATAATTTTTTAAAACTGAAAATTTATAGTTTGAAAAAAAAACAGGTCCTCGCGGGATGCGATCTTAGGCCTTTCGACGTCCCAGTAGTTACGTTAAGGCAAAGGGTACCAGAGAAGCTATCAAAACTGAATTTTTAATTAATCAGACGATCGAATGATTTTTTTATAGCTAGGAATTATCTTTAAAAAGTTCTTATATGTTTGTCTCTTCCAATTCGATAACGCTTGCTAATAGCAAGCGTAGAAAATACAGCATAGCAATCAAAATATTCGAACAAAAAATTTTGTAAAAAATATCATTTGCTACGACTAAGATTAGTAGAAAATACCTTAAAGTAACCAAGCAGACTGAGTTAAAGCCGACACCGAAATAGAAGGAAAATCGAATAATACGCATAAGATCAAAACTTTTCATGTAGTGCATGTAGGTGCTAAATGAAATGACTAAATTACCCATGTCTAATTGTATCACTGTGAACAAAATTATTTACGGAAAAAATCTACCAACCGGAAGCAGCACCCTTGCTTATCGCAAGGGTAAACATAACAAATATTGTAAACCTAATTTGTGGCATTGTGGCGCAGATGTATTGATGGTGCTCAGCACTCATATGATTGCTGGTTCATATCGCACGTGCACTGCAATTTGCAGGAAGAGCTCTTGCAAATAAGTCATGGCTTGATGGGCGCTGGTCATATGACTTCTTTTCAGCCTAAATAGTTAACCTCAGGGTTAATACTATGGGCTGATTGACTAGACAAATTGAAAAAAAAATAAGAAAAAACGTGTTCAAAAATCCAGGTATCGAAACAGCATCAAAAAGAAAATTTCCAAAGTGCTTACAACTTCCATAACAGCTTATTTAGAGAAAATTAGCAATGGGAATCGGACACTAGACAGAAACAAATTCAGATGAAACCACTAAACCAGAGTGAATCAAAACATATTCTCATCTTTACGCATACGATAGTCATAACGCACGCATACGATAGTCATTACGAATACGATAGTCTTTACGAATACGATAGTCATTACGCATAAGATAGTCTTGAACAAAATTAAATTTTGAGTCTAGCCTCAACATGAAACTAGGAGCGAAATAGCATCTGGGAAATCATGATAAAAAAATTTGGGGCCGAAAAAGCAAAAAAAAAACAAGAACCCAAAAACTTATTTACTTTCTCTAAAAAACTGCAATATAATTTAAACTGGCTTGATCGTAAAACTAGGAGCAAAACTTGTGACATCTTTGCATGATGCCATGCATTGCATTTTAGCTACTTTAATTTAATAGATAATATTATTCACCTTGATACTAAATTGTAGCTCAATGTTTTATTTATTGCACTACATAAACAATTGATGAAATTTAATACCAATCATTGGAACATTTTCGGAAATTAGGACCAGACTACACGAGCAGGCAGTGACAAACACCATTTGCTGAAGCAGAACGGTGCAGTGGAACTCGATTCCAACAACAAGTTGTAAGCTGGCAAGTCTGAGACAGACAGGGCAGAAAAGAAGACAAATATTTTCAAATTCTCAGGGCTGACAATTTATTCAGACTACAGATCGTGACCTCTATCATCACTGCTTCTGGCTGCAGCGAGATAGAGATTGTTTGTCAAGCGAGCTATTGACCATGCAGCAAAAGACGTTAATGTTAGGTTTTCAATTTCGAAAGAGTCAGTTAAACCAAAACTTAACTATCTTTAGTGAAGTAAAATGATATTGATATATTAATAAAAAACCTACAACCATCAAAAGTAAAGTAAACTGAATATTTGGCACACTGTGATAGTTTTAATACCACAATCGAATCAGCAATCCCATGGAAACATCAATAGCTGATTCAAAAGCTGGTAAAGTTTCCGTTGTTCTCCTAAATTGAATAAGCACTGTCTCCCATCATTAACTGTATCAGAACAGATAATTATTCAACTATAAAAAAAATTGCACCAGCGAAAGTCTGGTTGCTTCTTATTGAGGAAGGGACCACGAAGACTTCCTGCAATTCGAACAACTGTTCCAAGGTTATTAAGAAGTGGCAAAACAAGTGAACTTCTTGCATACTAAATCTACGGGACAATGCACGGCGATTTTACCAAATTCTTCCAGCAGCAATCACAGCAAACGTTCCGAACAGTCTCGCAGCCCTAAGAGATCGTTTCTGCAATCCCGAGTTTCAAGAAATCTACGCCCTGAAGTCATTTCGAATTTACCCAGAAGCAGATACAGTCAAAAATTTACTTGTGAACTCAACGAAAAAGCGAACCGAGCGTACCCATCATCAGGTTAGCCAGCCGTAGTCCAAACGATGCTGCAATAGAAGCCGCACGAT